GAAATGTCTTCAGGTGAAGAAAGGTATGAATTATGTTGTTGTTGTTGTTGTTCCATCATGAATTTTTGACAACTAAATTTTATTAGACTATAACGTTACTAAATTTCATAAAAAAAATTTTTTATTATAAACTAATTCTACAATGTTATACATACAGATCCCTCACTTTTTTTTTTAAAAAAAAACCAGTTTACACGCTTTTAATGCATTCTCGTATATTCCTCCACAGTCTTTAATAAATCATCTACCTTCTTACCTAACGTTCCAGCAATTTCCGCCATATCTTTTCGTGGTAAATCTAGGAAGGATTCTATTAAGTCTCCATCAATGAAATCTCGCACTTCACGTGATCGATATTCATTCTGAAAAATTCGCCAACTTTTTGAAATTTTTTTTTTCCATAAAGTTAAGGATAGACAATTTTTTTAAAAAAATGACAATAACAATTATAAAGTTGCTGTTTGTCAGTATGAAATTGCAGTCCTTTGAGATTGCAAACTTTACAGCCAGCGACTTCATCAATAATAATAATAATAAAGGATACTCGGAATGAGTTAGTCCACCAATAGGGCCAACGGTCTTGTCTATACAATGTTCCAACTTTTGTAAAAATTTAAACCTATCTTCTGATATGGTTGCGATGACGCCAATGGCGCCGGAAACTGTACCAAATAACAAAGTTTTTGAAGCGATTGGTTCAAAATCAGGATTATTCATGGCCAAGGATCCTAAAAAATATATATATTTAATATATCAGTGGTTTTAAAATGTACATAAAAAAAAAAAAAAGAAAAGAAAATAAAGAAAAAGAGAATTGAAAAAAAAAAAATTAAAATTTAATCAATTATCTGCTTTTTCTACGATAAAATCGTAAAATGAAAAAATATATATATATATATTTTTCGAAATATATATATGTATATTGTTTTTTTTTTTTTTTTTTTTTTTAAAAAAAAAAAGATAAGGAAAAAAATCGAGGTTCGATACGGAAATTCGGAGTTTGCGATGATGCTCGGTGCACCAAATATCCACAAACAGAAATAAAACGACAAAAAAAATTCAAAAAACTTATTATTCTATTGATTTTTTTTCGTAAAATAACAAAAAAAAAAAAAAAGTGAAAATGAAAATGAAAATGAAAGCAAGAGAAAAAAAGGAAAAAAAAAAATTTAAAATATATTTGCCAAGATAAATACTTGTATAAATAAAAACGACTTGTTCATGAAAAAAGATTTTCGTAAAAAAAAAAATAATGCAAAATTCGGATAATGAAAAATTTAAATTGAAAAAAAAAAATTAATTACAAATGAGAAAAGATTTATATTACAATTAAAAAATAATTTTTTTTTTTATCATGCTAAAAAAAAGCAAGAAAAAAAAAGGAAAAAAAAAAATTCGAAAGTTGGACAAATAATCAACTCATTATGCTAACATAATGATTGGTTAAATCGACAGCTGGAGAAAATTCATTTCGTTGTTGACCACTTCCACCACTCCTCATGAAATGAGAATTATTATTTAATCCAGTATCTTGTTGAAACATAGAATGTTGTTGAGCAGATGTCAAAGGGGGATCCAAAGTTTGAATTGGAGGTAACACCATTTGTTCGGAAATTATTGACCGTACAGGTGGCAAAGTTGGATTTTTGTCAGACGGAACAGCATTTTGATGATTGGCACCAAAGTTATAACCGTTAACAGTTGTTGAAGTTGGAGTAGTTAACGGAGTTGGAGGCAATATCAAAGCTGTCGATGATGTAGTATTATTCGTATTACAAGTAATTTTGTTGATGATGTTGTTGTCGTTTTTGTCGTTATTGTCATTACTGTCGTTCATTATGGCATTATTAATCATTCGTCTCATTCTTTTTGAATGGTTCTCCTGCAAAGTGGATGCGTTACGCATAGGTTGATGATGTAAAGGATTACCGACCTTGGAACCTCTGCGACTTTTCGCAGATAAATGAGTACGATAATGCTGCATCATATTATCTTGTCTTGAAAATTTTGACGCACATCCTGGCATCAAACATGAGAAGTTCTTCTCACCCGTATGTATTCGATTATGTCTAGCCAAATGACCGCTGTTTTTTTTTTTTCAGATCGGAGGGATTGTCGGTTAGAAAATGTTTGAACAAAAACGAATAATAAACATCATCTAAATTTGAAATTATTAAGTATTTATGATCGAACCAATTACGTACCTCGTAGTAAAACTCTTACCACAATTTGGATGAATACAAGCGTACTTTCTCTTATTGCCAGTTGCCAAATTAGTAGTAGCGTTACTCAACCCACGTTGTTTATGACGTTGCACGAGCATCTCGTCCGTGATTGATTGCTTCCGTCCAGCTGAGGAATCCTCTTGAATGTGAACCCAAGAAGGATCTACGTCCATGCTTGTGAAGGCTGCAGTATTAAAATCATCCTCATCATTTAACAGACTAACCACGGCACCATCCGATTTTTTCACGAGCAAAGTGGAACTTCTCCTTTTCACCGTACGATTATGACCAGTAGGGGTTAACGGTGGTGTGGGACCAGAGGACCTCTGCTGAGCATCAAAATATTTGTCTTGAGAGGATTGGTGAAAATTAACAGAGGATTGTAAGACAGGTAAGGTATAAGAGGAAGTGTTCGTGGGTTGTTGACGGAAAGCGGTCTGTCTCGTCGGAGAAGGAGAAGAAGGGAACATTGGTAAATAATGATGATGTTGGGGTGTGTCAGGATATAAAACGATATCATGCTGTGGTGTCATTTGTTGTTGTGACGAAGATCTTTGATGATGAAAATAATCATCCGACGGCGAATATCGACGCGAGGAAGAGACGGGCAATTTTAATGACGGGGCGTACTGCTGTTGGGAGAGGTCTTGCGGTGCGCTCGATTGATGAGAAGGAAACGACGAATGATTATTCGTGGGCGATGATCCAATGGGTTTATTATGTATATCATAAATCATTAATGGATTATTATTATTATAAGTCGACATTTGTTCTTGTTCTCGTGTGGGGGGTTGAGATTGAATATTTTCTTGTCGTCGCTCATGAAGTTTTAATTGAGATAATTCAAAATTCATTTGATAAACTGAAATGTCTTCAGGTGAAGAAAGGTATGAATTATGTTGTTGTTGTTGTTGTTCCATCATGAATTTTTGACAACTAAAAAATGTGAGAAAAGTTAAAGGATTGGTAAATAAAAAGGGTTGGTGTGGGTTCGTCAAAAGGATTTAAATGAATCGAGAAAGAAAAATAGGTTAGAAATTTCTCTAATTTTTTTTTTTTTAAAAAAAAAAAAGGGAAATTTCTCGATTTTCAATGGGGAACATCACTGAACTAACTTTATATTTGTTTTATTTTTTACAGTTATAATAGAACGTATAGTAACCGGATGGGGAAATTTGTGTCTCGAAACATTACATAAATATAAATAAGGATAAGTTGAAATCTACGATTTAAGTTTTACAGTACTGAACAATATATCCTCTTTTTTTTTTTTTTTTTTTTTTTTTTTTTACATTAACACCAACATATATTAAATTAAAATTTTTTTTTTTTATAACGATCATATGAATGTTTGAAAATGTTACCTGTATTTTCTGTATTTTTCTTTTTTCTTTCTTTTTATTGTTAAAAAAATCTTTTCTTTTGTTGGAGGATCGACAAGAAATTTTTTTCAACCGACGAGGAGATTGTGATTTGGCTGATTATTTCGTTTCGTTAGCGTAAACAAAAAAAAAAAAGAAATTTTTTTTTTTTTCGAAAACTTTTTGTTTACAGAAAGAGAAACCTTTATTTAAAGGAAAAAAAAAAATTGTTAATAAGAAGAACCCTGAATGTTGTTGTTTCCATGAAAAGAAGATTAACGCTTTATATATTTATTTAAGTGTGAGAAAATATCAGGATGTTCTGAAAAAAAAACTTGTTGACAATAAATAATGGAAATGAAAATTGAATTGTCAAGTTCAAGAGTATTGTTATAATCGTTATTATTTTAAACTTGTCAAAATTGTTAATATCAAGTTGAAAGAAAATTCCGGTTTTTTTTTTAAGGGTTAAAAGAAAATCGCGCTAGTATGGTTATTTTTAACAAAATTACATTCCTTTTAAAGGATTTAATTCAAATTTCGAAATCAAAGCCTCTCTCAGATTTTCGTGTTGTATAAGAAACAAGTTTGAATTTATAAAAAGAAAGTTGCTTACATATGAAGATTAAGATATTTGACTCAATCAAATTCTTATGAAACCAAACCGATAAATTGATTTTGGATTACAATAAAAAAACGAGGAATATTATTAAAAAGTTATTGTTTAATTTTTTTTTATTTTTTATTTTTTTTTTTTTAAAAAAAAATAAATATATATATATATATATATATATATTTTTATTTTTTTTTTTCGAAAGGTAGAAAAAATTTCAGAGACTTTTGGGTTTTATTTTTCAGTATTTTATAAGAAAATTCCTCTATTTCTTTTAAATTAAATGACCACATATATTGTATATCTTTAGTAAATTAGTAAAGTAACTTTTTTTTTTTTTATCGGAACGGTTATTAAATCACGGAGTAGAGTTGCTTTTTAAAGATTGTTTTAATAAATTATTTCAAAAGCAAAAATTTGATGTGCAATTTACAATTTAAATAACTGTTTCTTTATGTAATTCAATATATAAATTATATAATAAATAATAAAATAATCACACATATAAACATTTAGGTTTGTACATGTTCTTGTAACACAACAAAAAAAAATGGTGCCCTGTTCTTCTATTTACTTTAAAAATAATACTAAGTAAAAGAACACCAGATATATTGTATTTGCACTACTAGACTTTGTTTGGTATGAGGACCCTTTTTTACCTTTCTTTTTTGAAATGGATGTATATATAAAAAAAAAAAATTTAAAAAAGTAAGATTTAAATCGGGTTTATCTTTCTTTTTTCTTACATGATTTACCATATCAATTATGTAGTTTAAATTTTTTTTTATTTTGGTTTACCTCTTTTTTTTAACAGACATGGAAAATCCACATGCATAATTTTTTGATGCATTAAATGCTCCTTCTGTTAATTTCTCTGCTTATTACATTTCCAATGTCTTTTATTTTTTCATGATTCAATATAAAATGATAAAATAAAACTTAGTAAGTAAACAAATATATGGTAAAAAAAAATTCTATACGAGTTGAATCTGGTTTTTTTTTACAAAATAAATTGTACAACGTAAAAAATTTCAGGTTGCTTGTACAAGATAAAAAATGAAAGGTGTATAAAAAAAAAAAAAAACCTGAATTTTTTATTCTCTGGAACAATCTTTCGAAAAAAGGATGAATGAATGAATTGCGTGGACAAAAAAATTTATTAAAATGGTGTGTGAAGGTCATGTGCAAATCCGAAAAAAAAAGTGATGAATTTTTTTTTAAAGTTGCTTTTGTTGATTTCCTATAAAAAATTCCTTTTTTTTTTTTTATTTTAAAAAAAGTGTGGGATTTCTTTGTGGCTTTTTGAAAGGAAGGGATGGTTTTGGTTATTTGATTTTGACTTTTTGTTTATTTTGATTTTTGATTTTTTTCGTAAGCCTTTTTATACTGTGTAACCAGTGAATCTCTTTTTCTTTTAGAGTGTCCCGAACTTCTGGGTCCTGAAAAAGAATTTGGTTGGGGGATAGACACATGACAGATTATGACATTTTATTTCAAAAATTCAGGAGGCGATACAAAAAAAAAAAACGATAAAAAAAAACGGGTTTTTAATTGTTTGTAAATGAACGAGAGTTACAAAAAATTTTATTTATTCAATTGTCACTTTAATAACTTCAATTACAACCAACCATCCAATTAATCGATTTTGATGGATAACTCTTGATTAGATAAAACGAGAATTCCCTCTTTTCTTTTTTTTTTTCCTTTTTAAATGAAAAGGCTTTTTTTTTTAAAAATAAAAAAAAAAAGAAGGTTTTATTTTAAGAAAAAAAGAATCTTCAATTATATAATAAGTAACCTGGAACGACCTTGTGAACTTTCACTCGTGATTTTTACGGATTTATCAAATGTCTACCGATAAATTTTTAATTACGTAATAAGCAACCAAAAAAAAGGGAACATTGTACTGCAACGAGTACCATAAAAGAAAAAATTAGCGTCTAAAACTTTGTTTACTTTCTATGGAAGTATCAAGTTTAGATTTGTTTGCTTTAAAAAAAAAAATTAAAATTTTTTTTCCCGCGCACAAGAAATAATTTTTTAACCGTTAATCGTTGTAGAACAATTGAGAATGTTGGAAGGGTTTTCCCATCGATAAATTGATAAGGAATCGCGCGTAACATAATCTCAAACATTTCATCATATATTTACATTTAAATCATCGCGAGGTAAAAAAAAACAATCGAATCGGAAAATTAGAATTCAATAAATAAAATGAGACGGAGGAATAATTTGAGTCGGGATATACGTTATACCAAATGATGTCTCAATTACGTAACTCGAGATAATTTACGTCCACTTTAAGCTAAAATCCCATCGAATATTATTATTTTTATTTTTTTTTTTTTGGGAACGCTCGTAAGCTATAACTTTTTTGATATCGGTGAAGACACCGAAAATGTCAAATAGGCACACGCCAGGCACATGAAAGAAATTTCCATCTGGTTCCATCATATCGTTGTCCATCCCGGAATTTTTATATCTTTTTCCTTAAGGGGTCGAAGAATTAAGAGAATATTCCTATTATAGTATCAGCTTTTTAAAAATTAATGGGATTTCTAAAAATGGAAGGTTCGAATTCCCGTCGTCATACTTGGTGTAAATCCAAGTTAAACTTTAAATGGACTTGGATTTGTATGATATGTGATTGAAGTGATTCACCTACTTTACTGTAATTAATTCATCACTCATATGAAAATGATAAACAAAAAGAAAGAGAAAAAAAAGGAAAATAAAAGGAAACATCGTATGATTTTAATTTGTAAAAAAAAAAAAAAAAGAATGTGATATCTTTTTGTTTTAGCAATTTGGACTTTCTTGATTTTCAGGTTTCACACCTTTTTAAAATACAGTTATGTTCCAACTTTTCTTTTTATATCGCAACCCTGCTTCACACCTTTTTGTTTAAAAAAAAAAAAAATGATGATACTGATTATCCATATCATAATGGTTAGGTGACACGAGAAAATTGTGGGGTAAAGTGATATACCTTAATCATATGTTGAGATATCATGATGAGTACTATGAAAATTCTAACTTGGCCTTTTTTTTAACAAGGGCAATAAATGAAATTTTTCGTTCATAATAATTACACAAACACTATAAATAGTACATGATGCGCTTTCTCTTTCTCGATCCTTCTTTCTTTTTAAAACCTTCCGAAAAAGGCAGACAGGAGTCATAACAAAAAAAAAAAAAATTCTTGGCAAAACAATTAGAACCTTTGAAATTTTAGACAATTATGTTTATGATGCTCGTACTGTACGTACATATGTATATGTACCTTGTGCAAGCCAAATTGACCAGCCAGCGTGTAACTGATGGGTGGTTTTTGAAAGAAGATAATTTTCATGGATAAAATAAACAAAAAAAAAAAAAAAAAAAGGAAAATTTAATTATCTTAATCAATAAAAGGTGATTTATCAGTTAAACCTATTTCTAATATAAACTTAAGCAACCTGCCACACGCGATTAGGTGATTGCCTTTTATAACTTTTTCATATATTCTCCAACTGTGATCCTTTTCTTAATTTTTCTGATCGGTTTCTTATTATGATCTTCATTTTTTATGTCATTACAAATCTATATTTATTGTTGCCCTTAATGTTTCAAAAATCGGGTATCAACAATGCAAATCCTCATTTTTCCCATATGGAAAACACCCTTACGTTAACATGTTGCCTCGTGACGAAAAAATGTGAATGCTTATTAGGACCCTAATTAATCATGTCTTTATCTAAATATCATCTCTTTTTAAATTAAAATGTAGACAGGGGCTTTCGGATAGCAAATCAAAATAAAATATGTGCACGTTGCAACTCTAATTTAAAATTGGACCCATCCGACCCTAACATTCTAATTAAAAAAAAAAAGGGTTAAAAGGATCGGTCATTCGTCAGATCTACAAATGTCGGAATAATTATTAACAACTTTAAAACCTTACATGCTTGCACATTCTACGTTTAATTCTTTTTACCAAAAAAAAAAGAGGTTGATTGATTAACTTGAAAAAGATTTCCATTTTTGTTAAAGGTTTTTTGCGTTTTATTTTGTTAAGATTTTGCTGAAGATTTTAATTCGTTAAGGGTCATTGAGCACAAGAAAAACCTTCTTTAGATGGGTAAATGGAAGTTTATCATAAATTAAATTCTTGCAGTTTTATTTATTGACTTGTAATTCAAACAATTAATTAGTACAATCGAAAATTTGAAATTCTTTTTTAAACCCTTCAATTGTTTTTGATTGATATTGAAATTCGACGAGAATAAAATAAATCACATTGGTTTGAAGTAATCTCGCTGGTAAATATTTCCTTAACGATTAACAAGTTGTACGATGAAAATTTAAATTTTTTTTGTTAATTAAATTAAATGAGTGATTATTATTATCATTGTACAAATGGTATTTTTTTTTTTTTGTGATTGATATTGCACAAAACAATTCTTTGCTTTTAACTTATTTTGAATTCATTTCTAACCCTATCTCCTATTTTAGTTGTCGGAGCGTAAACCCCGATAGCATAATATCAAAAAATTTTTATAAAAACAACTTCTTTTTATATTGTTTTCATATTTATATTTACAGATTAAATTCATCAGGGGAAAAATGTTTAAATTTGAAACAATAATATTAGATTGAAAAAATCTTCTTTTTTCAGGGGGTGGAGAACCTTTTAACCGATTTAGATAATCAAAAAGGCCTTTTTATGCAAAGGGTTAAAAAATCTAATGTTATGCATGATCATAAATAAGATATTGTACATATACCCCCCAAACCTTTTTTTTGTTTTAAGATTGTTCTCCAATATTAAATAACGTTACAT